CTCACTTTGTAGCCCAGGCTGGTCTTGAACTCACAACGATCCTCCTGCCTCAGCCTCCCGAGTGCTGGGATTACAGGCGTGCGCCACCACGCTCAGCGCTAAAAGTAACTTTATAATATTTTCTTCTAAAAAAAATATATACATAAATTTTTTTTTCATCTATTTTTGAATTTTAAGACATGAGAAAGAAAAGAATTAAGTTATTGTTTGATCTTAGAAGCAGGCTGCTAATACTAATTTGAGTTTAGAAATAATGTAAGAATTGTAACAAATGAATTAAAATGTAAGCAAAGAAAATACTGAAACTTCTTAGTGGAGTGAAGTTTCTATGCCTGAATCATGCAGAGAAGAAGGACCTTACCTGCAGGGACATTTCGATCAACATTAGCAACTTCTTGATTCCTATCCAGACTTTCCTCCCTTTGACTTGTTGTGCAATTGTGGTTCGTTCCTTATCCTTGAAGTTGCCCAAAAGCTGCAAAAACAATAAGCAATAACGAAAGCACTTCTGCAGCAAGTACATTAACAATCTCAGTTAATTCCTACATGAACCCTTAAAAGAACAATGGTAAATTACCTCACTGAGCTAAGCCGCCCAATGGGTTAAACTGACGAGATTTCCTCACATTTTAAAATCTAGTCTGACCTACCTAAAACTATTAAATACAGTCAGGAAAGTGAAAATTCATATCTTACACCCTGTTTTCATAGGGACCTTCATTATAATTTAGAGATATATTTGCTAGGAAAAAAACGGTTCTAATCTGTAATAAATACAAGTTAAGTTTTTTAACATTCCTTTCTAGGAACAATCTGTATGTGTCACAGCAGACTAAATTTAATTCTCTTACCTAACCCTGTCACGTAAGCTGCTCCAACAGGTGACCTAGAAACATTTATCATACAGAAAATTTCTGTATTTTGTTAGGAGCACACACACCCCAACTCTATGGGTTGTGAGGACTTCAAGACGCCTTACTGACTACTAGGCCGAACAGCATGTTAGACCGTATTTTCTAACAGCTCTCAATTCATTTGTGTACAATAATATTCATCAAGTTTACGGAAGTTTTTTTAAACAAGAAATTTAAGAAAACATTCCCCATTCCTTTTTTTTTTTTTTGCAATGAGGTTTTACTATGTTGTCCAGGCTAGTCTCGAACTCCTGGCCTCAAGGCATCCTCTCACCTCAGTCTCACAAATAGCTGGGACTACAGGTGTGTCACTATGTCCAGCTATGAGAGCCCTTCTACACTCTCCATTGTGGTAATGCTCCTTTTACTTCTGTAGCTCTTTTTGAAGTTTCTGGGCTTTACTCATTGTTCCAATTTACTCAATGGAGGGACATGCGCTGACAGCCACAGTGAACAACCAATTTTCCTCCGCAGTGACCACCCTGCCCTCCACCCTTACACCTCCTTCACCCACCAGGCTCTTGGGCCATGTGACCCACACGCACTCCACTCATGCTGAGCACAGACTGATTCACTCCTGGCAGTCTGTGTGCCACCCACACCAAGGAACGGAAAACTAATGACTACCCTGTCACCCGCACTCTTCTCCCTCTGACCCCTAAAGCTCTGTGGAGGTAAAACCCCAGGGTCTCACGTTCTAAGTGAACTCAGACACCAAACAGCTGCGCAGGCCTCGGCATTATGTCCAGCCACAGCAAACAGCGTGCACCCACGAACTCATTCTCACCTCCAGAGCTTCCAATAGCTGCTCGCCTGTGGCAATATTGGGCACATGGATGGTGGTGCTGAAAGCATTAAGCATTTCCATTTCCTGAAGGACGTCTTTGCGGCTAGTGGTCCCAATGATGAGAAGCTTGCGGCCCTGATCACAGAGAGAAAATGTGTTAAAATGAACAGAACAAGGCTAATTAGGAAACTGTAGTAAGCTTGAACAAAACATGCAAAACCCATTCATCTAATTGTATAAATGCAAATGATTAGGCAAAAGAGACGAAAAATTCTCCCCAGGAAAAGCTATAAAAAAAAAAAGTATCCACACTATGAATCAGAAAATGTCCACATCTAAACACCTCCTCACGGGGCTGGGGATTTAGCTCAGCGGCAAAGCGCTTGCCTGGCAAGTGCAAGGTCGTGAGTTCGGTTCCCGGTACCGGAGAAAAACCAAAAAAAAAAAAAATAAATAAATAAACACCTCCTCACTCACATCAGTAAAACAGTGGGTCACTAAATCAGACAGACATACAGACAGACACTGGAGAACGTGTCTACGACTCCTTCCTCGAGCCAGCGTGGTGTGTGGATGGTGGGAACTAAGGAGAAGAATAAATGAAAGGAAAGCCTGGATTGCCGGCTCACAAGGCTTTCTTATAATTCCTGGAAAGAGCAGGGTAGTAATAGTTCACATTTATGTCATATTTAACTGTGAAATGCGGATAGGTTAAGTTTCTCACCTAGTTATATTTTAAAATTTCATTATGCTTTACAAAAAACGTAAGAAAAAAGTTTAAAAATTATGCCCATCTTATGCTATAATTTGTAATTCCCTCTCAGAGCCAATAGCTTTCTTCTTCTTTTTTTGCTGTTTGTTGAGTCAGGGTCTCACTATGTAGTTCAGGCTGGCCTTGAACTGACAATGATCCTCCTGCCTCAGCTTCCCAAGGGCTGGGATTATAGGCGTGCACCACCATGCCCAGCTTCTCTTAGCTTTCTTCTTGCATTTACTTCTCTCTCTTCAGAAAATAAGGATACAGTATTACCTTTATTTTCAAATTTTTTATTAGTACACGTTTATAGTATATAATGATCACATTCTTCATGGGGAAAGTTGTTACATGTACATTAAACCTTTTTTAACCTCCTCCCATCTCCTGATCCTTCCTTCTCTCTCTCTTTTTTTTTTTTTTTTGGTTTTTCTCCGGTACTGGGAACCGAACTCACGACCTTGCGCTTGCCAGGCAGGCGCTTTTGCCGCTGAGCTAAATCCCCAGCCCCTCTTCCTTCTCTTTTAATAAAAGATCTAGCTCCCTATTTTCTATCATGTATCTTTTATTTTACTCTTATTTATATTTTGGGTTTCACATCTAAGAGAAACTATGTGATATTTAAACTGTGTCTGATTTATTTTATTTAACATTATGGTCTCAAAATGCGTTCATTTTCCTACAGGTGACCAAGTTTATCTTCTGTTATGGCAGAGTAGTAGAACTCCACTGGGTAAAAATACCACACTTTCTTTATCCATTCATCTGCTGAGGGACACACAGGCCATTTCCAAGACTTAGCTGTAATAAATTGTGCTCACATAAACGGGTATGCACACAGCACTGTGGAAGCACTGTTTCTAGATTGTTATTAAGTATTATTTATTGACTTCTTACTAAACAAGATAGGGATGTGCATCTAATTTTGGGGTACTTCTCCCACAGAAAGCCCTTTTTTCATCTTCCTGTGGAATTCTTTCAATGTTTAGCTTGATCTATGTTCACCATCATGATTCTGTATATATGATTTACAACTAACCTATGAAGAGTACTATTAAACTTCCTTTCTTAGGCAACATTTTCTTTTATAATAGAGTTAATAATTGCCTTTTCCCATTTTGTTCATCCCCCAAAAGATACAACCATGAAATTCCTTTCAATATATTCATTGAAGCTTGGGCTTTTCTTGAAGATATTCCCTTCCTGGGGCCTTTGTCCTCACAGTCTGAGCTGACCACTCCCTAGGCCTGCCTGCTATACAGCTGCAGTTCTAGCATGTTCCTCCTTAACAGTGTAAGATCCCCAGTAGCCCCACCTTCTTTTTCTTCATTTTTTTTCTTTTCCCCTTCCTTTCTTCCTTTTCTGAGGTGGTAACACCTAAAAGCTTCCTCAGAAAGGAAAGCAAGATTTTAAAGACCTTGAATGTCAGGAATGCTTCTACTCTATCCTTAACACTGTATCTACTATCTTATCCACAACAGTTTGATTAGGTACACAGAATAAGGTCAGAATGAACTTCCCTCTCATACTTTTGAAGGCACTGCTTTTAATTTTGTCTTTAATTACTGTCTTTTAATTTTCAGTAATGCTGGCTGGACGATGTGCCATCTGATTTCAGACTATTTTTTTTTGAGATGGTATCTTGCTGTGCAGTTCAGGCTGGCCTTGAACTCCTGAGATCCTCCTGCCTCAGCCTCCTTAGTGCTGGGATTACAGGCATTAGCCAACTACACCTGGATATTTAATTTCTTGATGACTGTCAATCTTTCTGGGGTAAGATGAAATAGTAGTGTTGTTTTAATTTGCATTTTTCCAGTAGCTATGATGGCCATATATACTACTTCTGAGAATCATCTACTCATTTCACCTGTCCATTTTTGACTGGTGGTCTATTTTTTGTTTTCATTCTTAATATAGTCTAGATATTAGTGCTCTATCTGAGCAGTAGCTGGCAAAAATGTTCCCATTCTGTAGGTCGTCTTTTCATTCTGATGATTATTTCCTCTGATGTGCAGAAGCTTTTTAATTTGATATAACACAATTTGTTGATTCTTGTGGTTATTTCTTGTGCAACTGGAGTTCTGTTTGGAAAGGCTTTGCCTACACCTATGATCTCGAGTGTTTTACCTATTTTATCTTTTTCTAGCTTCAGTTTCTGTTTTAATGTTTAGATCTCTGATCTATTTTGGTGAGAGGTAGACAGCCAGTTTTCCCAAACCATTTGTTTTTTTTTTTTTTTGCTTTTGCTTTTTTTCCAGTATTGGGAGTTGAACTCATGACCTTGTACTTGCCAGGCAGGCGCTGTGCTGCTGAGCTAAATCCCCAGCCCATCCAACACCATTTGTTAAAGAAGCTTTGCCATCTTTCCTCCAACATACAGTTTTGGCTCCTTTGTTGTAGATTAAATAGCTGAATGTGTCTGGGGATATTTCTCTATCCTTGATTTTATTCCAGTGATCCATTTGTCTGTTTTTGTGACAGCACCATGCTTTTTTTTGAGACAGGGTCTTGCTATGTAGTTCAGCTGGCCTTGAACTCAAGGTGATCCTCCTGCCTCTGCCTCCCACATGCTGCGATTATAAACATGTGCCACCACAACTGGCTCCATGCTGTTTTTATCACTGTTGCTTTGTAGCATAACTTGAGATCAGGTATTGTGATGCCTCTTCCTTTGCTCTTGTTGCCTAAGTTTGCTTTTGCTGTTTTGGGTCTCTTCTGGTTCCATATGAATGACAGGACTGTGTTCTCTGTGGGGAATGCTGTTGGTTCTAGGAGGAATGCTACTGGTTTTATGAGGAATACTGCTGGTATTCTGGCTGCGCTGTATATCAGTTTTGGAAGTATGGTCACTTGGACAATATTGGTTCTGCCTATCCAGACACAGGGGACGCCTTTGATTTTCTGATGTCCTCTTCAATCTCCCTTGCCAGCGTACAGTAAGTTTCTGACTTACGAACATCCCAGTTGCAAACTTTCCCAGACACACAGACCTTGCTTTATGAACAGACTGTGGAGGCAGCTCCTGTGTCTGTGGGACACTGTCACAGCTGTGTGCTGCGCTTACTGAGCACCGTGGCAGTGCACGGCAGCACAGCGCTCAGTCGCAGCCCAGCAGGTCCGGACGCAAGAGGAGAAGCGGTGGTGGTGTGCAGGGGATGCCAGGGTGTGCAAAGCAATGCCCACTGTGCGCATCTATGTCGGAAGCGTTTAGATTTACCTGTCAGACTTACGAACGAACCTGATTTACGAATGCTCTCCTGGAACAGAACTCATTCCTAAATTGGGAAATTACTGTACTATGGTTTTGGCTGTAGAGCAACACTTCCTTGCTTAGGTTACGTCCTGGTTGTTTATTTTTCTTGCTGCTATTATGCATGCTATTATTTCCCTAACGTCTTTCTCGATGAACTTATGACTGCTGTATAAGAACACTACTGACTTTAGTGTGTTGACTTCGTATTCTGCTACGCTACTTAACTTGCTTATTAATTCTAAGATTTACTTATTAACTCCTAGAATTACGGGATTAAAGAATGGTGGAATTCTTTGGGTATTCTACAGAGGATCATGTCATCTGCAAATAATGATAATGATAATTTGACTTCTTCCTCTTACATAGGCTTTTTATTTCTTTCTCTTGACTGATTGTGGTGGCTAATGTTTTGAGTTCTATGTTGAATGGAAGTTTTTTATTTTTGCTTTTTGAGATGGTTTTGTTTTGTTTCAGATAGGGTTTTGTGTAGTTCGAGATGGCCTTGAACTCACTATGTAGCCCAGGCTGGTCTCAAACTTGAAGTAATCCTCCTGCCTCAGCATCCCAAGTGGTGGAATTATAGGCATGCACCACCACATCTAGCAATGACCCTCCTGCTTCTGCCTCCCAAGTGCTGGGATTATAGGCATGTGTCACCTTGCTCGATGAGGAACAGGTTTTATTTTTTAATTTTTAAAATTTTTTTGTCTTTTTGAGACAGGGTCTTGCTGTGCAGTTCAGGCTGGCCTTGACCTCCCTCTGTAGCCCAGGCTGGTCTTGAACTTGCAATGATCCTCCTGCCTGAGCCTCCGGAGCGCTGGGATTATAGGCGTGCACCACCACGCCTGGCGAGGAATAGGCTTTAAATCACTTTATTTATGATACAAAGTCTGTCCATAGATAAATCTTTAATATAATCATCAAACTTATTCATAGATCTTAGGAACTTAGGACATGAATATTAATGTGGTAGCAAATAAATATTTTAAGAAATTCAAGATCAAGTGCCAAAATAACTTTGATTTGGTTCTATAAACATTACACCAACAACTGTCCATAAGGCATACTAGCTCTTCTCAATGTCACTCACTGCTTTTGTCGGCCTATGTGCCCAGAATGAACAATGTG